GCGCGCTGAGCTATTGCGCGCTTTGGCACCCTCCTGGTGCTGGACTACTGGCTCTTCTGGGTTGCCGAGAACCTCTGCTTTGGTTCTGTTGAGGTGCATTCCGTATTCTGCTGCAATGGTCTCGAGAGCAGTAACATGGGCTGCAGTCAGAGCTAAGGTGTTGCCCGCATATTCCAGATGAGCTTTTGGGGTGTGGGGCTTCGCGCTTCGAGCTTCTCCTAAACCCTAAACCCTAAACCCTAAACCCCAAACCCTAAACCCTAAACCCTAAACCGGTAAAGGGCCCACACCGGGGCCCGAAGTACCCATCATGACGGCCCCGCTTCGGGAAGCCAGCTTCGCAGTCGGGTTCGGAAGCAGAAAGCTGGGTTTAGGGTTTAGGGTTTAGGGTTTAGGGTTTAGGGTTTAGGGTTTAGGGTTTAGGGTTTAGGGTTTAGGGTTTAGGGTTTAGGGTTTAGGGTTTAGGGTCATTTACCCCACTGCAACCCATGTATGGACCATGAAACTTCATGTTCTCCCTTATACGGAATCGGGAAATAAAAGGGGGAACATCCCAACATGAAACCTTTAAAGGGTTCATGCTAGTCACAGGTTTGAAGTTAAGGGCTGACCCATTAAACACGAAACCATCAATCAACACCCCGAAACCCTAAGTCCCTGAATCCTCGACACCCCCAAATCCTCGAACTTCAAAAAATCTATCCGTGCCTAGAGGGCGGACAGCTGTCGGAAAGCGCCAGTACCGCCGCGTGTCCAAGGGGTTGTCTTCCTGCGCACTGGTACAGCTGGGAAACTTGCTCCCTCAGCTTATGCTTGATCTTGACACAGAATTAGGAAGTTAGGTGCCCTATGTTGCCGGTTAAAGCATACCTCAAAAATTATGTCCTTGAAGGATACCTCTATGTCCTGCTGAGTCCTGCGAGGAAAGCTCGCCCAGATTGGGCTCTTCAGTCCCTGGTCTACCAAAAACCCAAGCAGCAGGGCTCGCTGAACAACCTCCCCAAGAAGCCGCTCTATTCAGGGGGCCACGGGAGACCTGGGCTCAGCATTAGGGTCTAGGGTCGGGTTTAGGGTGTAGCGTACCACAGCTTAGGATCTTAAACGGTAACCCTTAAAAAACGGAAACCCTAAACAACCGAAGGTTGAGTACGTCAATTTGGGGAGAACCTTGAGGTTCAGGACCGGGAACATCGGACTCAATCCCACGAAGATGCGAAGGCCTATTATTGAGGCTTGGGGCACGGAGCCCCGCAAACCCGAAACCCTAAACCCTAATCCCTAAACCCCCCAAACCCTAAACCCTGAACCTGAAATTTTCAACCCTAAACCCTCAACCCTAAACCCTAGACCCTAACCCCCCAGAGCTCCAAGGTGGAGCTAGCCCGTGCCGCATACCCCCACATGGCCTGCTGCTGCTTCTTGGGCTTGGAGCGCTGCCTTGAAGTCGCTCTAGGGTTTCGGTTTTAGGGTTTGGGGTTTAGGGTTTGGGGTTTAGGGTTTGGGGTTAGGGTTTCGGGTTTGGGGTTTGGGGTTTGGGGTTTGGGGTTTGGGGTTTGGGGTTTGGGGTTTGGGGTTTGGGTTTGGGTTTGGGGTTTGGGGTTTAGGGTTTAGGGTTTAGGGTTTAGGGTTTAGGGTTTAGGTTCCCCACCCCCCCCCCCCCCCACACAGACAAGAAAGAGCCAGACCTGTCGAGGCCCGCGCTCATCTAGGTTCATCACCATGATCTGCATCGCAGCCAACCTGTCATCATCATCCGAAAGCTGTTTTATCATTCTTATGGGGCTCTTTGGGGAGGTTCCCTCATCTTCCCCCGCTACTCCCTAAGGCTCCCTAAGCTTCCCTCAGGTTCCCTAGGTACCTACCCCACCTGAAGAACCCTCTCTTAGTCGGGTCCCCTTCTAGAGACTTGGACTACTTCCACCCCCCGCCGAAAACCCTTGCGTAGCACATGAAACCCGAAAAAACCGATAAACCCCGCCGAAACCTACGTTGACGAAAGCCCACCCATGAGACAAACTTAGGAGGTCGTCTGGGAATTCTCGGGCCTGTAGAAAGTGAGGCATCACATGGGGGTTTGAAAAAACCCTAAACCCTAAACCCTAAACCCTAAACCCTAAACCCTGTGGGGGATGCTCTGCGGGATGCTCTGTGACATTCTCCGTGCAGCGAGCAAGTCCTTGGATACAGGGACACTGTGCTAGATTGCTTGGGGTTGGGCACTCCAGGAATGGAATACTCGGGTGCTCCGCGGTTCCCGAGGTGAACATCTGAGGTCAAATTCTAACCACATCGAGGGTGCAGGAAAACTTCCCAGACCCTGAGCCCCTACCTGGACCCCCACAGTAAATACCCATGAAGGGACCATTAGTTTACATACTTTGGCTCATCTGGTCCGTAACGTAGCCCGAGTCGTGTGGAGCCGTGGGTTCTTCTAAGTTTAAGTCTAAGTTCGGCTGATTTAAACCCTAAACCCTAAACCCATAGAGCCCTACATCCCAAACCCGCCCAACGCCCCCCGCGCCTGGCCCCGCCCAGAAGATTCCTCAGCAAATGTCTGAAGCTGCGGGATCTTGAGACAAAAAAGTTTTGCGGTTTAGGGTTATAGGATTTAGGGTTTAGGTTTAGGGTTTCGGGTTTGGGGTTTCCAGGGTCCATGCCTTGGGGGTTCAGGGTTTTTTCCGGGGCCTCAGATGCCTTGCTGGATTTAGGGTTTAGGGCTAGGCGTTTCGAACTGCCCTTCTACCCTTGCTTTTTCTGGGGCGCACACCAAACCCTAAACTCTAAACCCTAAACCCAACCTCTGCATTCTGAATCCCAAAGCCTATCCCTGAAACCTACAACCCCTTTCTAAACCCGAATCTCAACCCCATCAAAAACCCTATCAACCCTCTAACTCCAGAACCCCCTACATAAACACCCTAAACCCTAAACCCTAAACCCTAAACCCTAAACCCTAAACCTCTAAACCCCTAAACCCTAAACCCTAAACCCCAGCTCAAAACCATGAGCCCCAAACGTCACGCTTCAGTGCAGGCCGAGCTGCCCTTCCTGCTCTCCATCGCTGTCACTCGCCTAGTCGGAATAGGGTTTAGGGTTTAGGGTTTAGGGTTTAGGGTTTAGGGCTTAGGGCTTAGGGCTCAGGGTTCAGGACGCCTAGGGTTTGGGGTTTAAAGTTTTAGGGTTCTTGATTTAGGGTCTCGGGGGCCCCTCCCCCCTCGCTCCGCTCAGCACCAGCGAGGTTTCTAGACCCAATGATTCAAAGAGGTTTTTTTGGAATGTCAACCGGGTGAAGGGTTTCAGTCACCAGGCCGGAGCAAGTCGACACGAACAAGTCGAAGGCAGGTGGGGTTTAGGGGTCAGGGTTAAGGGTTGGGGTTTAGGCTTTAGGCTTTAGGGTATACGTGTTCAGGGTTCTGGGCCTTAAGCCCTCAAGGCCCCTCACAGACACTAAACCCTGGTGCCCTGCCATTCCCTAAGCAGTTTCGGTCACAACCCCCAAACCCCAAAAAACCCTTAAACCCGAAGCCCCCACGGCATTTTCAAAAGTGTGCAGGGGGGTTGTGGAGTGATTCGGCCGGCTTAAGGTAAGAACATTCCAGCCCTATTAATATGCTTGCATGGATTTCTGGAGGCTCTACATCCCATCCTGGGGGCGGGGGGTGTGGATGCAAGAGTTGCAAACCGCACCCACTGCACTTTGAACGCGGACTCGCAAATTGTGGCTGGAAGTAGACGAGGGGCGTGCGGAATAGGGGCGGGGCGGCTTGAAATCGAGGGGCTGGGAGTTTTAGGCGGGCGGGACAAGGGGCGGATGGACCACTATTAGAGTTCATGCAAAGCTTTCAAAGCGCACCCGACGCGCTTTGAAGGGTTGGCTGACAAAAGGTGGCTGATGTTTGGGGGGGGGGGGGGGGAATGCAAGAGCTTGAAACTGCACCCGGTGCAGTTTGAAAGCAGCCGGTCTTGAGCGTCTGTGGGGTAGAGAGGGTTCGGGGGTTTAGAGTTCAGGGGATATCCAGGGTACTAGAGGGCATCTAGGGAAGCTTCGGGAGTAGCGGGGAGCATTAGGGAACCTTGGGTTGCACACCCCCCTTTGAACCCCCCTACACCCTAAACCCTAAACCCTAACCCTAAACCCTAAACCCTAAACCCTAAACCCTAAACCCCCTAAACCCTAAACCCTAAACCCTAACCCTAAACCCTAAACCCTAAACCCAAAACCCAAACCCTAAACCCTAAACCCCCTAAACCCTAAACCCTAGACTTGCCTCTGCACGGAGCTTGGCATCGATCGCGGCCTGGCCACACGATGCGAATTGTGGGGGGGTTTAGGGTTTGGGGTTTAGGGTTTAGGGCTTAGGGTTTAGGGTTTAGGGCTTAGGGTTTTAGGGTTTAGGGGGCGGGGGGGGGGGGGCGGGATGTGGAATGGAGGGTTGCGCTTGTCAACAAAAAACTCACACCCGAACACCCGAAAGCACCTAAAACAACTCTCTGACAAAGCCCCCAAAACGGAAAAGATCCTAAAAGGCACCCAACAGCCCTCTAAAATTCCTAAAGGACTCTGAACACCCAAAACCAGGAGGGTCTCGGGCGTTCAGAACTGGACCTCCAAAGCATGCTTGAGCCCTATATAAACCCTAAACTCTAAACCCTAAACCCTAAACCCTAAACCCTAAACCCTAAACCCTAAACCCTAAACCCTAAACTACAAGGACAATTATGTTACAGACTTTGGGGAGCTAACGTCTAGGGCTCTGGGTCCCCCATCGGATGTCAAATGCGGCTTCTCTCATCACCTGCATGCTGCTTCCTTCATTTTCCTGCGCTGGGCTTCGTTTTGCTAAGCAATGTGAAACCTGCGAGGGCGTGCTCCGAGGCAAAGCAGTTGTGAATGAAGCACAGGAGGCTTTAGGGTTTAGGGTTTAGGGTTTGGGTTGTTCAGGGGTTCGGGGTTTAGGGGTTTAGGGTTTAGGGCTACTCTCATGTCCATGAAGCTGTAGCTAGTCACGATGGTGCTGCATGTTGTTCATGAGGCCTTGTTGTTGAGCCTGCCTCTCGTTGCCGGATCGTACATAGATCAGGAAAATTAAACAGCACGTGCAAGGCACTGCCAGACCAAGAGAAATCCACAGACAGATCTGAGCAACCTCCATCTTCCGTTTTGCTTGGTCCTTGAGTGTGCCAGGTTTGTCGAGGGCCACAGCGCAATTGGCCAAGCGCTCTCCGGCTTCGCTGCGTACTCGTACCCAGCAGGGGCGAGTCGGGACGTCTCCCCATGCTTTCGCGACGCGCTCCGCCTTCCAGACATCTCCAGAATAGGGCCCGCTGGATGTGTAAAGCGCTGAGGAAGCCGCCGGCACTCCAAATTCATAGGCGCAGCTGATCTGCTTGGCGCCGTCTCTGTCGCCATCCAGTCTGTCACTGTCCGGTTGCAAGGAGACAAGGGCCCAAGGTGTGTAGCTGAAAGTGCGTCGCCGACGGGCGGTGTACATGACGTCCGTGAGGCGCCGGGGCGTTGCCACATCAACCTCCTGCTCACTCTCGGTCATCTCCTCGTACTCCTCGTCCTCCTCGTCCTCCTTCGCATCGGCATCCTTGACCACTGGTGGTTCCTGGTACAGGCGCCGGCCTTGCTGCTCGAAGGCAGCATTTGATGCCTCGGAGCACTTTTTCTTGTGGAGGCCCGAAGCATCCTGCTTCAGAATGTCCAGGATGCTCTGAGGTGTACACCAACAGTGTTTCGCCCGCCACGGAGCAGGGTCCACAGAAAAGGGCTTCCCGCTTTGGTCCGTCCCACATTGCCAAGAAGAACTGGAAGCTACTTTGTAGGCCTGCTCGGCCGACGGAACCGTGTACATGTGGCCATCAAAGAGCGCCGGGGCGTACGTAATCTCCCCGTTGCAGTGGCACGTGCCCCCCTCTTTAGCACACCAGTAGCTTCCTGGGCAGGTCGCCATGTGCTCCGTCAGGAATACGGGAGGCTGCGATGACGGCGCTGTGCCTCCTGTGTAGCCAAAGCAGGCGCTTCCCGAGTCCTTGTCGGTGCAGCTGACGCCGGAAGCCAGAATCTGGCAGGTCGTCTGCTGCCACATCGTCGCAATGTCCCAGGCATTTGCCTTGTTGGAGATGTCTCCCCAGTTGTGGGCTGCGATACCCGCAGCAACAGCTGCGCACCACCAGCAGCAGCTGCAGCAGAGGCTCGCATTTCCCACCCGCTCACCAAGCATTCTTGTGCAAGGTCTTCTACTTGACGGACTGCGGCCTAAGCGAGTCCAGATGCTGCTGGAGGACACACAGCGATGGCGGAACTCCGTGCTGCAACTGGTTCTTAAGAACCCCAAACGGCTAAAAGCCCCTATGAACCTGCAACGCTGAGCCCTGAACCTAAGCGCGGAATCCCTAAACCCCTGTCTCACCTTCGGCAACTTGGAGACTGCAAGTCCCAAACGGGGAATCCCCAAGAAGGGCCAAGCCCCTAGCCCGAAACCCTACCATCCAGGGCGTTGGTCCAGCCACTCCTAACGGGTGCCTGCGAACATTTTACGTTGGCGTCTTGCATGCCTTGGGAATCTCGAGGACTGGGAGCCATTGTCAGTAAGCTAGGAACCCGTAAAATTCCCTGAGCGTGTGCCCTGCGAGCCCCCAAAGTTACCAGCCCTATAAGCCCTAAGCCGACCCACCCTCTACAACGAGCCCCGGAACCCCTAGACCCTAAACCCGAAAACAAAACCTAAACCCTAAACCCTTGAACCCCTGAACCCCTGAACCCCTGAACCCTTGAACCCTTGAACCCTTGAACCCTTGAACCCTTGAACCCTTGAACCCCTGAACCCCTGAACCCTTGAACCCTTGAACCCTTGAACCCTTGAACCCTTGAACCCTTGAACCCTTGGACCCTTGAGCCCTTGAACCCTTGAACCCCTAAACCCTTGAACCCTTGAACCCTTGAACCCTTGAACCCTTGAACCCTTGAACCCTTGAACCCTTGAACCTTGAACCCTAAACCCTTGAACCTTGAACCCTAAACCCTAAACCCTAAACCGTAAGCCCCACCGAGGAGGCTTCAGGCCTGGCGGCTCGCCTCCGAGGTGAAAATCCGCTCACCGCCGATCTCGCAAGGCTTTCGGTTTCAGGGTTTGGAGTTCAGGGTTTAGGGTTTAGGGTTTAGGGTTTAGGGTTTAGGGTTTAGGATTAGGTTTCAGGGTTTAGGGGATCTTGGATCCGAGGCTTTTAAGGGCTTCAGGCAGTTGGGGTTTTTTGGGGTGTAGGGCCGTAGGGTGTGCGACGCGTGGGGCTTTTGGACTTAGAGAGTTTGGAAGGGGGGGGGGGTCGAGAGTTCAGGCATCCAGCGGGCCCTATAGTGCAAGTTTAAGGTTCAGGAAGAATGTTTCTTCATGTTTTGGGGGGGGGTTCTTAAGCAAATAGTAGAGAACTACACCCGGCAGCCATTCACACCACTGTTTGGAAGTACTGCGCAAGTAATGAGTCACCCCCCAGCCTGAGCTGCTGCCCACCCACGTTTATTCCTTCTCAGAATTGCGAGCTTACGCCCTAAATTCCCACTCTCAGGCAAGCTGCGCTCGGCGACTTTTGTGGTTTGACCTTGGGCCTGAAAAGGCTAGCGAAGCAGAGGGCCTCCATCTTTCAGGCTGGGGGGGGCACATGCAGAACACGCCCGAGGCCACTGGGTTGAAGGTTTAGGGAGCGGGTCCTTATCCAAGCATAAGCACCAGGAGTACCCTAAATCCTAAACCCTAAACCCTAGACCCTAAACCCTCACGGTAGGGAGAGGGTCAGATCCTAAGAATCCTAAACCCTCGCCTAAACCCTCTCTAAGGGCAGGAAGTAAGAAGTCCACTCTTCGGTTTGGGGCCTAGGTCTTACGGTCCCAGCCATGCTCAGGTCCAGATATAGGGTAGAGGCCCCTTAAACTTTCCAAACCCTTCACGGCCTTAGCTTCTAAGCCGCACTTCTTCCTAAACTGCTAACCTGAGATCCCCAAACCCTAAACCCTAAACCCCAAACCCCAAACCCCAAACCCCAAACCCTAGACTGGGCGTCTGACAAGGTACTTGCCCTTCGGGGACCGGATGCCTCGGCTTTCATAAAGCAGCTGCAGGCAATATTGTCATGGGTTTCCCTACTACCCCCTCTCTATCCCCATGTAGGGTTTAGGGTTTAGGGTTTGAGGGTTTAGGGTTAGGGTTTAGGGTTTAGGGTTTAGGGTTATACCCCCCCCCATCATTAAGGCTACTTAAGGGCTGTTTTGTTGATCTGCCTTCTTGCTTGTAAGTCCGGGGCGTAGCACCAGGAGGTCCACCACCTCAGCATCAGCGGCAGGAGAGACAATGCTCATCAGCCCCATCAGCCGATACCTACACCTCAAACCCTTGCCAAACTACGACTTGTTGAAGAACCTCCAAAAGAAAAGGAATCTGATAATCCCTATCATGCCCTCAAAACACAAGGAAGAACATTTTAAATTTGTGGGGTTCTTAAGCAGGCCTGAATCCTAAATCCTATAGGCCCGAAACTGGAGTGGCCCTGCGCAAGGCCCCGCCCACGGCAGCTATCTTCCCGATCTTGGAAAACTACCGAATCGCGCTCTCTCCTCCGCAACCCTAAAAACCAAACCCGAGACCCTATGGGATGTTGGATCCGTATCTAGTAAGAGGAACTACAGTCGTGTAGGATGTATAATCAATTTGGGGGTTTTCATGTGGGCAAGCCCAAAAAAGGCTGCGTAAAGGTTGCGTACTCTGGCCTGGGGTTGAGCGAGGGAACTCTTCGTGCGCTGTCCATTCTTTGGATTATGCAAATCCTCTTCATCCCAACCAGGGGACATCCCAAGGACCTAAACCCAAGGCCCTAAACCCTATAAAGCCCTAAATTCGGAGGTTAGCTTCGTGGTCCCTTAAAAAGTGGTCCCTTACCATCCTTAAACAGGTTCTGATTTATGGGCCTTTGGCTCGTATAGGGTATATACGGCACACCAAAGGGTCGTCTTTCCTCTCCCTTTCTCCCCACCTGGGATCCCCCAGCCCTATGCAGACGACCGCCCTCCATGCACAGGCGGCAGTGTCCTGAGGAGTGCAGAGGGAGGGTTCTTGGGAGTAGGGTGTCGGGTTTAGGGATGAGAGGGACTAGGGCTAGGGTTTGCTTGTTCTTTGAACCAAGCTTAGATGCTAGAGCTGAGGCGGCGGAGATTATGGCCGACCGGGGTTTACGGGTTCAGAGTTCAGTGGGGCTTTGGGCATGGGCCCTCATAGAGTTTGGCGTGATTGGTGGCCTCCAGCAGGCCCAGCAACCTAGGAATCACAAAAAGAAACTCCGCCTTGAGTACCCTGCACCCTGACCCCCCCCCCCCTAAAGCGGTTTCAAGGGTTTTTTTTTGGGGGGGAAGCTGATGTTCAGAAAAGGAAACAAAGGTGCCACACCCGGGGGCCTATGCTTGGCGTGTTACGGTGACTTCAGGGTTTAGGGCCCAGGGCTGGCCCAGGGCCTATGAGGATGGGTTTAGAGTTTAAGCTCTGCGGCTTCACTACGCGAACTGCTCCTAGAGCATCCAGAAAGCCTCAAGTCCCAACACACCCAAAAGCCCTATACCTCAAAACATCCAGACCCTAGACCTTGAAAGCTAGCTTCACCACACCTGGAAAACTCTGAGCCCTAGAGTGTGACCATAAGCCGCCAGACCCTGACACCCAAAACCGCAAGAACCCTGAAGCCACCACACTGTCACACTAAACCGTCACAAAACCCTAAGCCCTAAGCCACCTAACGCAGCCCTAGTCCCAAAACTGCCTCCCTGACCCTAAAACCAAATTACTCGCTTTTCCCCTAAAAACCTCGGAACGCCAAGGGCATCTACTTGGAGGTTTAGGGTTTAGGGCTTTGGGTTTAGGGTTTAGGGTTTAGGGTTCACCAATTATACTGTACTTATGACTGTACTTATAACCATCTTAGGGCACTTAAGGGGCTTACAAGTGGGTCATAGATACAGTTATAAGTGGTCAATAAGTACCATGAACCTCCAAGTAGGGACCTACGGTTTAGGGACCTAGGGTTTGGGGATTTAGGGCTTACGGTCTTAGGGTTTAGGGAATAGGCATTAGGGCTTTCAGGTCCAGGGGATTTTGGGGTTGTTTAGGATTTAGGGATTTAGGGTTCATGGGTTTGGGTTTAGGGGAGCCAAAAGCTCCCGATGGGAGCCTGTAGGCGCCCAGGAAAAAAGAAACTATCAGCCGTAAACCGTACACCCCTAAACTCCAAAGCTCTGAATGTCCAAGCCCTTAACTCTAAATACCCTCAAACCCCAAATCCCAGAAACCCTAAATCCCTTAAACCCTAAACCCTAAACCCTAAATCCTAAAATCCTAAAATCCTAAAGCCTAAGCCCTGAAGGATTCCCAACAAGCCCTCGAATTGCAACCCCCCCGCCCCCCCCCCCCCCCCCCCCCCCCCGAAGTTGGGCTTGGGCCCCCAGCCATCGGTTAACCTCAGGATGATGGTTTGGGGGCTTGGGTTTAGGGGATTTAGGGTTTAGGGTTAGGGTTTAGGGTTTAGGGTTTAGGGTTTAGGGTTTAGGGTTTAGGGTTTAGGGTTTAGGGTTTAGGGTTTAGGGTTTAGGGTTTAGGGTTTAGGGTTTAGGGTTTAGGGTTTAGGGTTTAGGGTTTAGGGTTTAGGGTTTATGTTTAGGGTTTAGGGTTTAGGGTTTAGGGTTTAGGGTTTAGGGTTTAGGGTTTAGGGTTTAGGGTTTAGGGTTTAGGGTTAGGGTTTAGGGTTTAGGGCTTAGGGTTTAGGGTTTAGGGTTTAAGGGTTTAGAGGTTTAAGGGGTTAAGGGTTTAAGGGTTTAGGGGTTTAAGGGCTTAAAGGTTTAGGGTTAGGGTTTAGGGTTTAGGCTTTAGGATTTAGGGTTTAGGGTTTAGGGATTTAGGGTTTAGGATTGAGGGAACTCGAGTTTCTAGGAATTTAGGGTTTAGGGATTTAGGTGTTTAGTGTTTAGGGCTTAGGGTCTAGGATGTTAGAGTTGATGGCTTAAGGCGGAGACGCAAGAGAGAGTTGAAGTTGAACTTTCACTTGCAGGCAGGGACGTGGTGTTGGCTTGCGAGGTCGATACCTGTTAAACGAAGATGGGCATTTGGGCTTGGATGATGCACGTAAGGCTGTAGATACCCTAAACCCTAAACCCTAAACCCGAAACCCTAAACCCTAATAGCAATTTGAT